CAGCGCCCCAAGTCGGGAGGCTTCTGTTTCCCCCTACTCAAGCTCGGAGGCGGAATGGGCAGAGAGGGAAAAGGGATGGCGGAGGCAGGTAGAACTGGTTTGGATCCTCTGCCGCCACTTAACTGCTGCTGCCTTTGAGTGAGTCACTTAACGTCTCTGAGCTCCGGCTTCCTCGGCCGGCGGCGCAGTGCCGCAGCACAGCATCCGCCCTGGAGGGCTCCCGCGCGGCTGAGAGTCGGGGCAGGGCCGCCGGTGCTCCCGCTCCCCGCCCCCACCACCCCAGACCCCATCTCCAAGGGGGCGTCTGCGTCCACCCAGGGGTGCTATAAAGTGCACGGTCCCTGAGAGCAGGAGCCGGCTCCCGGCTCCGCGTTTCCCGAGGGCCCTGCGCGGCACCGCGGGCAGGCGGCTTTGCTTTGCAAATGGAGGAGAAGCCCGGCTCTCTCCCTCCCTCCTCCCCCGCTCCTCCCTCTTTCTCTCTGCTGCAGTCAGGCCGGCAGCCAGAAAAAGCCCAGCATCTTCCACCATTGTCTCCTTGCACTCTGCCCGTGCTCCTCCAGCCTGGGGCTCCTTTCGGCGGAGGCCTGTGGGGGCGCAGGAGGGGGAGAGGCCACAGAGCCAGGAGCTCAGGAGGAGTTCCCAAACACGCCTCGGTGTGTCTCCTCCCTCCGCATGAAATCAACACAGTGTCCCCGAAGTCTTAGCGCCCCTTCTCCCTCCCCGTGAGATCCCAGGACTTCACCACCTTCACGGAGAGCCTGTTGACTCACCAAGGTCAGCTCAGTTCATCCTCAGAAGGGGGGCGGGGGAGGCAGGGGGCAGCTCATCAGCCCTGTTCTACAACTGAGGACACTAAGCTGAGCAAGGTTAAATTGCCCCCCTACCCAGGTCACAGCTGGAAGTCCTTAGGCTGGGATCTGAGGACCCCGGGGTTGCCTGACTCCAGAGCCCACCCCCATGGGCCTGAGCAGGCTTTCTCCCTGGCAGGTGGCAGGGCAGGCGCTGACTCACGGCTTTGGATTCATTGAGTTCTCTTTTCTGCATTGCCACTGCTTGGGCCTAATGAACAAATATTTGCATTATGCCTTTCTCGCTTTGCAAACAGCCACAGGAGTCTGCTTGCCCACAAGCCCAGAGAGTCCCAGCATTTTTGAGTGACATACTGACAGACTGCTTATGGGTAAGTTACAAAGAATGCTAGAATGTGACAGCCCTCAGAGATCATCCCCATCAGGGGTTCTTAACGTAGGATTCCATAAATCCCTGAATTTGTGCACGCATGCTTTTCCCCAGGGCAAGGGTCCAAAACTTTCATTAGTTTCTCTGAGAGGTTTTCAGCCCCAAAGGGTTCAAAACAATGGGAGCTCTGGCTGAGCCAGAGCCTCACGCTGCCAGGCTTGCTCAGGCCACCATTCCATGAGGCAGCACAATCTGTGATGGAGAAAACCCAGCGCTAGACACCAGCACAGAATCTGAGCTCGCAAACATCTTAAAGACTGGTGAGTAATGAGAACGGCTGATTAAGTCGACCTCCACCAGAAAGTACCTGCTTCTCCCCTCATCACTGAGCTCACTGGGAAACTCGACTGTGCTCCATCTTTAGCTTGAGCACAAGGAGGCAGCGCTCAGACTGGCCTGCCGTGTGATATGGCAGCAGCCTGCTGTACCTCAGTGTACACATCTGGGAGGCTCTGGGCCCATTTTGTTTGTCTCCTCTCTGCCCTCCGTGGCTTGATGTGTTGCAGCCTACTGCCACCATAAACCCATATTCTTGCTCCTGCTTTCCCCTGTGGCTTGGGTCAGCCATACCTACTCCTACATCTTGCCCTCTTCCCAGGATCACCCTCTCCCATCCCCCACCCTGGGGAATGCTATAACTGAGTGATCTTGGGCCACAAATATATCATGATCATGGAGCCAGTATGTTGGGAGGCCACACTGGCCTCTGCTTAGCTGCAGGATGAGGCCACCTTCACGCCTAACTCCACTCCCTGGGGCACACTTATCCTCCTCCTCTCAACACCTAAATCCTACTTACAGGACCCCTCTCCAATTCCACCTCCTTTCTGAAAACTTCTCATTGTTTTATCTATTTCAACTGCATCTATGACTAACTAGATTATAATCTCCTTGAGGGGGGCCGGCACAGTGGTGAAGCCGCTGCCTTGAATCTGCGGATGGAAGACCTCTCTCTCTCTCTCTCTCTCTCTCTCTCTCTCTGCCTCTCCTCTCTCTGTGTAACTCTTTCAAATAAATAAATACATCTTTTAAAAAAATCTCCTCAAGGGCAAATACTCACTTTTCTTTCTTTTAGTGTACTTACCAACAGTTTTATACAGGATAAATGCCATATAAAAACTGTACTAAGTAGATTTCTCCCCATCTTTGAAGTTGACCATTTGCTAAGAGGGTCCTTTGCCAAATAACATGTAGGGTCCTAGCCAGGGATGAGGGACTCAGTCTCCCTGTTCCCATAGACCCACTGCCACAAGTCTGGGTCAGTAGGGGACCCCATACCAGGTGTACTTGGTACTTGGATGAGGGATGAGAAAGAGGCCACTGCCATATCACCCACCAAATGTGTTGTGCCACTGCCAGCCCAGGCTCTTACCCTACCGGAGATGCCTCAGGGTGCAAACCTAACCCTGCTAGGAACAGTGGGTAACAGTGGAACACAGGCCTCGCTAGTGATGCAACCTGGTCACGCCCCCAGGTGGAGGATGACATCAGTCTCCGGGTAGGGGCAGGGAAGGCAAGACCACGTGAGGTCTGGGGTACCAGGGGACAGGGAGCAGACAGTGAGGGGCCCATCCTGCAGAAATGAGAAGGAAGACAGGACTGCAGGCTCCCAGGCATAGGCCCCTTGGTCCCATTAGACTTCACTTACAGAACACAAATGCAAAGGTAAAATCGCTAAGAACTTCAAGAGGACAACTGCTGGGCACTAAGTGCCAAGAGTTGCACCTGTGGGGAGGGCTGGGGAAGGTGAGGAACAGGGGGCTTTAGCCCATCATAGCTCTCCCTGGGGCCCTGGGTGACTGTCTCCGTATGGCTGGCATGTTTGCCACTGGCATGACTCTGCCTGAAAAATAGAGAAACAGCGAGTACTCACTCAGGGAATCAGAGCTGCCCGAAATGGCCATGGATGTCACTACTCATTCACCTACTATTTCATAGGCACACGAGGACTCGAGACTTGCAACTGTAGCTGGAGGAGGAGGAGCACCATTTGCCAATCAGGCACTTATTTAAGATTTGACAGTCAGACACATGACTTTGGTGGAAAATTCTGGGCTGTCTTCATTTTTAAAAATTTGGTTTAGCTATGACCTGACTCCCTTCTCTTCACTGAAATCATCCCCCATCCCACCTTCCACAAAACCCAAGAATCTTTCATATTTGTCAGAATGGCGACAGTTAAAACAAATCTTACTTAATTCCTATTAGACCTCAGGAAGATTAATGCATTGTCACACTTTGCTTTTAAACCCAGTGTTAACCACTGTAAGCTGGGTACTGTTTTTCTCTCCCTCACATCTTTAATTCATGACTGTAGCTGAATCTTTATCCTAAAAAGATTTTTAAAAGGTTGATTGATCCAACTGTTACTGCCTGGATCATATCCCATGATGGGTACAGCTTTTTTTTTTTTTTTTTTTAAACACCAGCAAGCAGTCCCTTCTCTTAATAACTGAGTCTTGAGTGATGTCACCTTGGAGAACTGAATTTCTGAGGCAGGGTCTCCAAGCTGCTGACATCTGAGGAAGAGACCTGGTGCTTCAGTTGGCTCAGGATTTGTCTTTTTTCTGTCACGTCCTCAGACTCTAGCTGGATGCGCGTGCCTGATCCAGCACCTACCTGCTAGGTTCACATCTGGGAGCCGCTAATGACTTGGGAGTGAGCTGTGCTGCCCCATCAACGTACCAGGAGTGGTACGATGGTATGAGCTGGGGAGGGTGCTGGCCGATTTTGCCTGTGGAATCCTGGGAGCAAGTTCCTCCATGGCTGCTAGTTCCTACCCATCTGTAAGCACTTCCGGGGTGCAGGAGGATTTCATCCACCCCTTGTCTACTAGAGCACTCCATAAACGCTTACTGGATTGATACGGCTCAAGCCTTCCTCCATGTCTCCATTTTTGCCTCCAAATTCTCCTCCTGGGAACTAGTGTAAGTACCACTGGCCACACCTGTGCTTGGGATTGCTCCCTTGCACTTTGGTTGCCTGGGCTGGGACGGCAACAGCACGTTGTCAACATGCTCTGCAGATCAGCGTGGTGCCAGTGGACTGCTTCTGCTAGCCTCCATGCCACTGAAGCAGCCGAATCCCGGGAACCGTGGAGAAGTAGCAGGGTCGCCCTTCCCTCCCTGGCTCAGGAGATCACGGCTAGGACTCAAGGACCTTTTGTTTGTGTGTTGTTTCTCTCGACTGAGATGCAGAATTCAATTATAGCCCCAGATTCCCATTAAGCCAATGTTCTTTTTCCCTCTTCTTCATGGAAAGCAGTACTAAATCTTGCTTAGTAGGGCCTCTGCCTCCTCGTTCTGTCCCTCGGCTAATAAAATCAAGGCTACTCGGAAATCAGATTAAATAATTTGTCTCTTCTCTTTCTAGAAGTTTCAGAGCTCTCGCTGACCTTTCTTCAAACAGCAGAAACTACCTTGTTTTTTTCCTCCCAGTGGCCTGTGAATACCCTGTCACTCACAAAGCAAAAGCACAAAGAAGGGCTGAGCTGGAAAGAGCAGGGATCTGGGGGTCAGCTCCCAGGGTGGGAGCCGCGGGGCCCCACACCCTCCTAGAGCCTCACTTTCTTTTCTGTGAAATTCGGGACTCAGACAAAAAGCTACCTTTAAATGTTCCTTTTTGCCTCTAAAAGTCTGGGCATCTCAGGGTTGTCGATTCCATGGGTAGGCTAATTCTCCAGGCCCAAGAAAATTGTTTCCTTTGTGATGGGAACATCTATTTTTCTCCTCCTTCCCTTTTTCCTTTTTTTTTTTTAATAGAACAGACAAAATGAGCTCAGCTCACAAGTTCAGCTGATGTCTTCCTAAACCACAGGGTTCATCTTCTGAAACCGCTGCCTCTTCCTTCAGAAGCCTCAGCGGTCCTTAGCTCTGACAGCCAGCCCCATCACTTTTGTATTCGGTCTGGGAGAGGAGGCTTGGAATGAGCAAAGGCAGGCACAGATGTGACTGTAAGGGACATGGGCGCAAACTCAGCAGGAGCCCAGCTGGCATCCTGTCCCTCAGCTCCCACCACCCACAGCCCTATTCAGAGTCTGAGTGAACAGTACTGTTGTCAGTCAACCCACTGACCACTCAGTGCACGAAACGATTGATCCCTCATACTTGTAACCCCAATAATCGCACAGCCCCTAGTTTCAAAATCAGAGAAAGCTTCAAGATTGGGATTTTTTTTTAAATATGTATTTATTTGTTTGAAAGGCAGAGTTACAGAGAGGCAGAGGCAGAGAGAGACAGAAGTCTTCCATCCACTGGCTCACCCCCGAGATGGCCACAACGACTGGAGCTGCGCTGATCCGAAGCCAGGAGCCAGGAGCTTCTTTCAGGTCTCCCACATGGGTGCAGAGGCCCAAGCACTTGGGCCATCCTCCACCGATTTCCTAGGACATAGCAGAGAGCTGGATCAGAGAGTCAGGACTCCAACCGGCACCCACATGGGATGCCGGCAGGGCACCACAGGCGGCGGCTCCACCCACTGTGCTACAGCGCTGGCCCCCATGATAGGGATTTAAAGACAACATTTTCATAAAAGAAGGTCATCACAGGAAAGCAGAGTGATTAAGAGTATGGCTAGGGGCTTCGCCATAGTCAGGGTAGGTTCAAGTTCCAGCATCTTCATATAGGAACAATGGAGCTATCAGTTCCCTAAACTTCAACAGTCTCATCTATAAAATGGAGATGATAAATAATACCTACCTGAGGCAAGGAATAACCGAAAGAAAATCAATTATGGAAGGGGTTTGGCATAGATCTGCCACACCGTAAATGCTCAACAGGTCCAGTGATTATTAATAGTGGCACAGCATCAATAATCCATGAAAGAAGTGACTCTGGCGTGCCCTCGTCTAGTGAAGCTGCTGTGGTCTCGAGCATCGCACACCCGTCTGAACTTCTCTCGGGTCTGTGAAGCAAAGTTAAAATGGGAAAATGCTCTTAAGAGTCAGTCATTGAAATTCACAGTGTCTTTGAAATACCTCAAATTATATTTAATGTAAAAATTGCTCTCCTTGGAGAGAGAGAATAAAATAATTAAATAACTGGGGCTGGCACTGCGGTACAGTGTGTTAAGCTGCTGCCTGCAACAGTGGCATTCCATATGGGTGCCGGTTCAAGTCCCGGCTGCCCCACTTCAGACCCAACTCCCTATTAATGTGCCTGGGAAAGCAGCAGAAGATGGTCTCTGGGCTTGGACCCCTGAACCCACATGAGAAACCCAGATGAAGCTCCTAGCTCCTGTCAGCCTGGCCCAGCCCTGGCCATTGCGGCCATTTGGGGAGTGGACCAGCCGATGGAAGATCTCTCTCTCTGTCTCTCCCTCTCTCTCTGTAATTCGTACGTTCAAATAAAGAAATCTGTATGTTCAAATAAATAAATATAAAAAACTTCATTTTTTAAAATAATAAATAGCTAAAAGAATTAATAAGTTTTTAAACTTAAAAGGGGAGGGCAGGGGTTTGGCATAGCAGGTAGAGCCACTGCCTACAGGGCTGGCATCCCATGTGAGTGTTGGTTCGCGTTCTGGATGCGATGCTCTACTTCTGATCCATCTCCCTGCTATAGCCTGGGAAAGCAGTAGAAGATGGCCCAAATTCTTGGGCCCCTGCACCTGTGTGGGAGACCTGGAAGAAGCTCCTGGCTCCTGGCTTCAGACTGGCCCGGCTCCAGCTGTTGCGGCCATTTGTAAAGTGAACCAGCGGGTAAAAGACCTGTCTCCCTCTCTCTCTGCCTCTCTGTAACTGTCTTTCAAACAAATAAATAAAAATCCTTTTTTAAAAAATGTCCCTTGGGACGCCTGCATCCCATATCAGAAGGTCTTGATTCAAATCCTGCCTCTGCTTTTGATTCTACCTTCATCCTGCCAGGTGGCAGGTAGTGGCTCAGACAGTCGGGTCCCCTGCCCCCAGACCAGAAACCCAAATTGAGCTGCAGGCTCCCCGCTTCAGCCTGGTCCAGCTCCGGCTACTGGAGGCATTATGGAGTGAACAAGTGCATGGGAGATCTCTCCCCAGCTGTCTTGCCTTCTCTGTATCTCTGCCTTTTGGATAAATAAAAATACACACAAATTTCAAAGAGAGAATGATTTTTCGTCCTTTGTTGATGACATGAGTCAGTTTGAAGTCTTCCCCTTGGTTAGGCTGAGATTCTGGCTTTAGCCAATGGGAGAGGGCATGAATGAAAAGAAAAGGAGAGGGATGAGGACTGTTACAGGCTGTGGCACCATATGGCCTGAAACAGGACTCAGCAATGCTTGCTGAACCGAAAGCTTCTGTTCCTCCGTCACCTCCACCCCCTCTCCACTCCCGGGAAATCAGATGGTGCTGTAAACCCAGAGGGCCAAGGTGCCTGGCACACAGCGGCTCATCGTGAGTGGGGACAATGTCCCCCCCACCCTGGTGAAACATCAGTCCTGGTTTTTACTTTTTCAGATCCACATTGTGCCTGTGTGCTACTAGCCTGCGCCATCAAGAGATCCTTGATAGGATTGCTTGCATTACTGAATCAACAGCAGATTCAGTCTGGTCCCCCAACAGGCAGAAATGGATAAACACAGAACCGCTTTACTGTGTCCTGAGAAGTCTCACTCTGAGAAGTAGCCCCAGCCACCCTTGGGGTGATCTTGCCAGGCTGGCTGGCGAGATGTGGACAATGACAGATGACGCAAGTGGAGAGCAGGAAAGTGTGCCCGTACACAAGTGATGACAGCAGGTAGACAGACCTGCTCAGGAACCACGACAGGCCATTTTGAATTGGAAAAAAAAAGTATGCAAATCCTCACTAACATATTGGGGGAAGACACAGCAGAGCAGGAAATATGCATGCACACGAGTGCACATTCATCAAAAGGGATCTCAATCACTCTGATGAAGACCAGGGCAGTCGAGGTAGGAAGAAGAGATGCACGCAGTGTTAACCTGTTGTTTCCCATAGCTGCTTATAAGGGAAATGCTTCAGGGGACAGCCTGGTTGGGAATCAGTCCAAACATGATTAGAATCAGATTTAAACTAAAAAAGAAGTATCCTTAAGTGCAGTGATTCCCAATATTGGCCAACATTTAAATCAGCCTGGAGAGCTTCCAGGACTAGTGAAGCCCAGGCCACAGCCCAAACCAATTACATCATACTCTCTAGGGGCGGGAGCCAGGCACTGAACTTTCTGAAGCTCTTAGTAGATTTCAATGTGCACATGAGTTGCGGAACCCCTGTCAGTGGGGACATCCATGGTGAAGACGTGAGGAAATGGCTCATGAGGTTAATGGAAACTATAGAGTGCCCCTAAGAAATCAGCCTGCCCTGTAATGGAATGAGATGTATGGCTCAGGGCTGGTGCTGTGGCATAGCAGGTAAAGCCGCCACCTGCAGTGCCGGCATCCCATATGGGTGCTGATTCGAGAACTGGCTCCTCCACTTCTGATGTAGCTCTGTGCTACGGCCTAGGAAAGCAGTAGAAGATGGCCCAAGTGTTTGGGCCCCTGCACCTGTGCATAGGAGACCCAGAAGAAGCTCCTGGCTCCTGGCTTCAAATTGGCACAGCTCCAGCTGTTGCGGCCATCTGGGGAGTGAACCAGCAGATGGAAGACCTCTTTCGCTCTCTCTCTCTCTGTCTCTGCCTCTCTGTAACTCTGCTTTTCAAATAAATAAATCTTTAAAAAAAAAGATGTATGGCTCTTAATTTCCTTATTTATAACTTTATAGTGGATAAAGCCACCACCTGCAATGCTGGCATCCCATATGGGTGCCAGTTTGAGTCCTTGCTGCTCCACTTCTGATCCAGCTCCCTGCTAATGGCCTGGGAAAAGCAGCAGAAGATGGCCCAAGTGCTTGGTTCCCTGCCATCCAGGTGGGAGACCCAGAAGAAACTCCCGGCTCCTGGCTTTGGAGTGGCCCAGGCCTGGCTGTCATGGCCATTTGGGAGTGAACCAGCAAATGGAAAATCTCTGTCTCTGTCTCTCTCTCTCTCTCTGTAAATGGCAACTTTCAAAATAAATCAACTTTAGGTTTTTTTTTTTTTTTAAGTGTTTATCAGTATAAGAAAAATAGATGAAGAGACAAGGCCACACTTCAAAATAAAGGAATTAAATTCAAGTGAGGATCTTGAACTTGGTAGCTAGGAGTGAGATAGAAATCAAAGGAGTTCATTGTCATTATGGATAGAGAAATTTACATATTTTTGCTTCATAGAATGTTCATATCCATGACCTAATTTTAACTTGCATCTCTGTGGAGTAGGCAGAGAAAGTATTATTTTTCTCTCCCACTTCCACAGATGGGGAAGCAGATAGAGTCTCATGATCTACTCGGCATTACAGAGCAGAGCGAGAGGCAGGGGTGGAAGTAGCACTCGGTTCTTCAGGAAGCCCGGCCGAATGTCCGTCTCCACACTGCGCAGCCTGGCCGCCCTTGAGGAGCTCTGCCAGGGTGGGGACAGTTCCAGCGAGGACTGAAACCAGCAAACACAACACTCGGTGAGCTGAACCAAAGAGGGCTGCTATTAGGGGGGACAATCCAGAACAGATGTCAAGGTCATCCATCCTGGGTCACCAGCATGAAGGTGGTGGCCCAGGGCTGGCACTCTGCCTTGAGGATGCCTCCTGAATACCGGGTGACATTAACACACCGAATTGGCCTCCACTTACCTTGGATTGGTGGGCAGAGGCAAGGTCCGTGAGGTCACAGAAATGACTTTGGGATAAAAAAAATGTGCAAGTAGCAATTCTTGTGCTTTGGACTCCAGGAGAGACTCTCTTAAGTAGGTTGTGAGAGTGGCAATGAATTGTTGTTACCCTGGGTTCCACTGTGTGCAGAAACAGAAGTTCACAAAGATAACTGAACCGCAGTAGGCTAAAAGGGCAAACAATGGGCCCAACTCCAGCACGCAGCTGGGGTTTGGAGAGACTAGAACTGGGAATTGCAAACTCTTGGAAACTCAGGGGAATGTGCTCTCTCCATCCTTCCTTTCCATTTATCTCTGTATTTGTGTTCATCTTTTCTCTGCTGCTCTGTCTACATGTGAGGTCAAAGACAGATGCCCACAGCTCCCAAGTTCACACCTCAGCTGCATGAACCAGGTCTATTCCCACCCTCTTCTCAAATACAAACTCCCATGGGCAGGAACTCCGTGCCCAACTGGTTCTCCCCCAAAAATACCCATCCCTGATCCAGTCAGCTATGAGCAGGGGCGGGGTCACATTAGGTATCAATAACTGTCAGGAGTTCCCTATATGATGGCAGTACAGCACTTACTGATAGCAACTATTTAAGCTGAACATAGACCTCAAATTATCTATCACTCACACCTACTAGGATGGCTACACTTAAAAATAAAAGTGGAGAATAACAAATGTTGGCAGGTATAAATGTAAAATAGTGCTGTCTCAATTTGACTGTTTCTCAGTCAAATTAATCAATTAATCAATAGAATTAATATATTAATCTTAAACAGAATTAATTGACCCATCAATTCTACTCCTGGGTATATGAAAACAAGTGTTTAAGCAAAAACTTGTATACAAATGTTGACAGCTGCAAAAAGATGGAAACCTAAAATGCCCATCATCTACTGACTGGATAAGCAAAATGCACTACAGTCACCCAGTGGAATATTATTTAACCTTAAAGAGAAATGAAGTTCCGATGCATACTAAAACAGAATAACCTTGGGGACATTATGCTGAGTAAAAAAAAGCCATATACCAAAGTCTGCATATTGTGTGATTCCATTGATATGAAATGTCTAGAACAGGCAAATCCACAGACAGAAGGCAGAACAGGGGACAGGAGGATGGAAAGGTGAAAGTGGGGTCTCCTGTTGGGGTGATAAAAGTGCTCTGGAGGGGGCCGGTGCTGTGGCACAGTGGGTTAAAGGCCTGGCCTGCAGCGTCAGCATCCCATATGGGCTTTTTT